TCGTATAGTATACGCTCAATATTCACTGCAGGTCCTGGCTCCAATATGGGGGTGGGTGGAGGGGGGTCTACCCTAAACCCTAAACCCTAGGCAATATACCTCTCTATAGGGTTTCCGGAGTGCTCCCAGCCTACATGACATGACGTCACGGTTCGGGCACTGCGAAAGTCTTCGGAGATGGTGTCTGCTTCTAGGATGCCCGGTAGTACCCTCATTCCCTATTCCGGTAGAGCCCATGGGGGCAATGGCATATGTACGGATACGATTCTTCGCTGGAAATGCTGCACACAATAACTATTTCACAACCCTAAACCCTAAACCCTAAACCCTAAACCCTCGTGGGTAAGATGCCTCAGACCCAGCTGGCTCTTTGGCCCTTCGCAAGCAAACTTGAGGCATTCTACGGGACATCCGGGTTTGGCATGGCGGTGTGGCGCGTCTGCACGCATGGGATCGCGCTTCTCTTCGGATAGTGGCTTTGGTTCGCTACGAGATGCTACAAGTCCAGTACTACCGCAGCCCGTGATCGCTTTTGGCGCCTGGTAATGTGATGAGGAAGTTGTAGAAGAGCTGTCCTGATGGTCCCCAACTTGCCATGTTGCAAAAGCTTGTGGTGATTCTGGAAGACGTGCTAAACATTTCTAAACCAAAGCCGCCCAGCAGCAGCCAGGTACCCAACCTTTCTTCAGAGGACGGTGCAGTGACCTTGAGGGCTGACCAACCAGGTTTGGCATGGCACGGTCCAGTATTGAGATGTGATGCCTAGCCCTGCGAGTCTGCCAATAGGCTGAGTCGCCCTAAACCCTAAATTCTAAACCCTACACCCTAAACCCTAAACCCTAAACACGCAAGCCCTGCAAGGACCGGTACATTGCAGTGCTTCAATTCTACTCATGCTGGTGCTTGGTATCTCGGCGACAAACGTAAGCGTGAGCAACCCACGATCTGGCTTTGCAGTTGTGAAGCCTGCTGTGAGCACGGCTACGAGTAGCCGCGATGTGGGTACCACACAACATATGTTCAACGGGGGAAGATGATGAGAACAGCGCGTTACAAGTTCAACAGTTGCATCCCACTTACATGGAGACCGTTTTTGTTTAACACCCAAGCCGATTCACACCATGCCTTCCACTGGGGTTGATTCGGAATAGTTTTTGGAGTTCTATGTATCTCGATTTACACATGGAAAATTGAGTTTTGCAGAGCCCCCGAACCCACCCCCAATCCTGCGAATCTCTTGAGTTCGCGGGGTTTACGGTTTTAGATTGTGCTGATTGCTTGCGACAACTTCCTTTGACCATTTGGCTGACATCTGGTGCCCTGCCCGGCTCAGCACTACACGTCAAAGCCCTGAACCCCACAAATCTTGCAAGAACGCCATTTGAAGCTTTAGCAGCCTTGGGGAGCAAATGAACTTCAATTGCGGCCATATACCCTGAAATCACGATTATATTCCCTACTTTTGTATATGAAGAAACCGTTGTAGGGTTCATGTGGTCCCAATGCATCCAGCCGGTTTGGGGTGGGGGTTGTCTTTTGATGAGGATCTTGGCGGTGAACGACGAACAGAAGGCCGTGGCGTAGCCCAAGTCGCTTTGCCTTGATGCGATGAGCTTTGGGGCTCTGGGCTTAGGGTTTAGGGATTGAGCTTGAGGGTTGAAATTTTGAAGACCGATCACCGACCCTGGAACCGCAAACCTTGCATGAACCGAAGCCCCCCAAAGACCAAGGTGTTGGTCTTAATAAGGCGCAAAGACGTCTGCTGCGTGGGTGGCACGACAAAAGGCTGACTCTGGCTCATGTTTCGTCTGTTCTTTCCAAAGTATCTCCCCCATCAGAAAACATCCTGTATTGGTGATAGGAACCCCAAGTAAGGTACGCCCTCCTAAACCCTAGGCTCAAGGCTCAGACCACAACCCCCCCCCCTCCCCCCCCCTCCCCCGCCCGCGGAGAAGTACTTGCCCCGACCCAGCGTAGGCCCTTCTTCTATGTTTTCAGGGTTTTGGTTGCCATGAAAAGGCTCTTTAAACCAAGAAGGGTGCCCTTTTTATTCCTAGGTGACTCTTGTCTTTTAGGCCCTCCAAAACTCCCGAAGCTGAGGCACTCACTAGACACAAGCGAAAAGAGAGCGTACTATATTTAGTGGTGGAGTAGGTCGTCCTCAAAAGCAAGTTTTGTGCTCTAGAGACTGCCCTGAGAACCGAAAGGCGAACTTAGTTTCCCCCTTTGGCTACCTTACCCAGATCTTCCAAAGCCCCTGAATTAATGAGTATTATTATGAAGTAGGGTATATTCCAAGGGGGTCTTATGGCAGATCTCGGTAGCCCCAAAGACTGCTTCCGAGGCCGACGTCCTCGCGAAGCTTGACAAGGAAGCCCAGTCTATCGTCGCGGACCACATCATTCGAAACATAGCTCAAGCCACTCTACCCTAAACCCCAAACTCTAAACCCTAAAACCTAAACCCAGAAAGGTAAGTCTTAGTCCTTTCTTGATGTGACTGAGGGTCCATGCGACATGCTATGTTCGTAGAGAGAGAGAGAGCGAGAGACTTCGCCGGGTGTTGCGTGATGTTACATGGTGCAGCAAGACATACATGCTCTTGGCGAAACACCTGACGAAGACTCATCTGGCAATGCTAAGACTCAGCAACTGAGACTTGATACTCCGATCCTAAACCCTAGACCCTGAACCCCTGTAATCTCCATGCCAGCTGCAAGGAGCGGACGGCGACCCAGAACCGTGGTCGAGCGGGAAATGGGCGATTTGGCAGGGTGACTTTGTCTACTGACGCAGTCCACCACGGCCACCACGCGAACTGAAAGATCCAACGCGGGTCAGACACGATCAAGCTCCTGCTGCTTTGTGATCTTTGTCGTGGCTTCATGTGGCAGCCTGGTCTACCAGAAGCAGGATCCGGGCCCCACTTGCATGAACAAAGGAGGGAGCTTGAATATTCAGGGCTTGCGATTCCGGACCGGGGCTTCGTCTTTCAGGACGGAGAAACCCTAAACCCAAGCGACAAAAACAACCCTAAACCCTAAACCGTAGCCACACTTGTGAAATTTCTTCAGCCTCAGCTGCCTCAATCTTGCAAAGCGAGAGCCCTGCGCAGGAGCTCTACATCTGCAAGGTATTCTGGCCGGCCCTGGCTGCTCTCGACATTCGGGCCGGGGGATTTCTGGGCCCCTGGCACTTCGGCAGATTTGGATCGCCCCGAACCATCCGCCCAGTCAGGATGGGCTCTTAGGCCTTATAACCCCGACAATGAACCCCTTAAAGGGCCTTTTTAAGGGATTAGAGGGTATAAAAGCCCATCCTGGTATTCTTTGCAAACCTCAGGAATTCGGTTTCCGAGAAAACTCTGGCCCTCCTGTGGGTTGGTTTTGACCTGCTTGTCCGCGACCTCCAGCCTTTACCAGTGCAGCTTTTTCTCAACAGGCTGGCTACGGCACGGTGCGGCATGGTACGTCGAGGCTCGATAGGTGAGGAGGGAGGGGTGGAGGGGGCGGAGGAGAGGAGGGGTGGAGGTCGAAGGTGGAGAGGAGGGCTGGGAGCGGCCGGAGCATCGCCATGCGAAGAAAGGTGCAGAATGTGCAGAACTCGTCTGGCGTTAGTTTCAGGACGAAGCCGTCCACACGCCCAAAACCCGCCGATGGCAAATAGCTCTTCAGGCAACGTTCCAGAGGCATTTCGCTTGAAGTGCGGCTTTGCACTCGAACGCTTTACGGTTTCAGGTTTATTACGGTTTTGGGTTCAGGGTTTAGGGCTTCGGGTTTTGGGTTCAGGGTTTGGGTTTGAGGGTTTCCTTGCGCGGCTTTTGCCGCAAGAGGGAAACCGAACATGCATCCCAAAATGCGAGAGAACCCTCATTACACGAAACCCCCACACAGAAAGAGCCCCCTGCTTTCCGGAAGCTTACATCTGGGCCGAGGTAACCTTGCGAGCATGGGGCGCAGATTGGTGATCCAGTGATCGCGGGGGCATGGCCGTCCCTCAGTTTAGGGTTTAGGGTTTAGGGTTTAGGGCTTATGGCTTGGGGCTTTGGGTTTTGGAGTGCAGGTTCAATGGGCCGACTCCACGGTGGCATCTGCTGGCTAAGAAAAGACATGTCCCCGTGTCTTGTTTCATGACTTGGCATTAACTCTCACGAGCCGCATGTGCGTACAAAAAGAAATGGATGGGTAGTTGTCAAAATTAGTGTTTTTTTGGGACCCCAGTGCCGTATTATATTAGGGACCCCAAGGGGATCATAATTTTGACAACCACCCACATATATATATATGTATATATATATATGTAGAACATCTTAATATGGCTTCAGGTAAATTCCTAAGTTGTGGGGTATTGGGCGCTTTGGGCAAGTGACTATGCAAGTTGGATAAACCCTAAACCCTCAACCCTATAGTGTTGTGCGACGTCCTACAGTGTGACGCCTGTCGGTTGCACAGAGCTCGCCGGTTTAGGGTTTAGGGTTTAGGGTTTAGGGTTTAGGAAACCTTAAACCCCATGCTGCACCATAGTGGCCAGGATATGACGAGGTCATACTTTTGGGGCCTTGCCTAGCTCGACCCGCAGTGTACGACACATTCCAACCGACCACTGCATTCCCCCCAATATAGTAGGAACCTGTGTTTGGGAGAGACGTCCCTTACATAGCGCTTACATCGTCGCACACTAGTATCAAAGTAGGCCTCAAAAGAGACATACTATATCCCCCATAGAGTCCGTTGTGAGGATCCCTCTTGTAGCCCGAAACCCTAAACCCTGAACCCTCCAAGCACTAGTTCCCGGTAAGGGCTCTAAATTCAAAACTCTAAACCCTACATCTGAAGACCTCTTCGAGTTTCTGAACTGGGATCAGGGTTTCGGGTTTAGGGTTCACGGTTTAGGGTTTAGGCTTTGAGCTGCGGGTTCACGAAAAGGGTTTGGGGTTTAGGGTTTAGGGTTTAGTGTCTAGGGTGTAGCCTCAGAATTTCTCCAAGCTCTCGCCCTGCTCAGCCCCAGCCGCAGTCGATCCCTGCCGACCCAGAGTCGCTTGGGCCGCGACTAGGGCTTTGGGCTTGGGATTTTTTTTGGTCGCGTTGCAGGTTTCCTTAAACCCAATAACCCTAAACCCCAAACCCTAAACCCTCAAAGCAGCAGAGGTTCCCAAAAAAGGGCTTCTAGGACCCTCCGCGGGCCCTTCTTCCCTTTTCTTAGGGCTTAGGTTTCCTTCTAAGCCGGCACCCTTTTGATTCCTAGGTTACTCTTGGGTCCAGGCTCCGGGTTTGGGGCTGCAGGTTCCTGACAGTTTCACATTCTCGGAGGTTCATGGGTAGTTCTAAGCAGGGCTGTAATTCTGGTAACTATACAAACTCTGTTCAGGGTACTTGTAGCGCGCACGCGCCGAGTGCGATGCATGTGCGGGCACGGGTTTGGGTGCGTGGGTGGCTGTGCGTGTGATGATGATTGTGGTTGCGTGGGTGTGCGCTTCCTGAGGCGTTCGGTGAGTCTGGATGCTGACTGACGCGATGGCCTCGCCCAGGGTCTTGAGAAGGACGGAAGCCTCGCTTGAGTAGGTTGCCTTCAATCTCCAGAGGTTATTAACTTAACTTAAGTCAAGCCCACGTGCATTCACGGCCCCTTGAGCCCCCAAACCCTAGACCCTCGAAATTCTTGTGACCCCCTCAATTCCCCAAACCCTAAACCCTAAACCCTACAAACCCTAACCCCTAAACCCCAAACCCTAAACCCTAAACCGCAAACCCTAAACCCTAAACCCTCAACCCTCAAAACCCGAAGGGTTGGGAAGATGCATCCAACCAAGAGAGGCTCCTGTCTCTCCGAGTCGTGGGCTCTTTTCAAGGTTGAAGGGCTGCTGTCGGCTTGGATATAGGAGTGGGTACGCCCTGAAGGGACAACTGCTTAGATACTTCTTCTCTGAAATGGGGGCTTAAGCAAATAGTAGTCTGTTGATACTTGGTAGCTCAGGGGTCCTTTTGGCCCTTTTCTTGGTTCACAGTTCCTGATAAAGTCGGCAACCCCCCAAAATGGGTACCCTTATTGTAATATGGTTGCTGGGCTACCAAGGGCACAAAGCCCAAGAAAACAGATTTTGATTGTGGTTAATTAAGTGATCATGGACGCCCTTGTCATGGCCAGTGTTTCGTCGACACCAAGGTAGAAAATGCTAAAGCCCTAAACCCTAACCCTAAACCCTAGCCCGAAACCCTAGCCCTAAACCCTAAGCCCTAAACCTTAAACCAGCTAGACTGCCTTTTTTTCCGCTGGAAAGGCCACACTGCAACCCACGCAAGGATGGTTCCCTTACGCGCCGAACGCTGGCGCAGCATGAAATAGCGAGTCCTGGATGCCAAACATTTTTGGCCAGCAGCCGACATGTGAACAAGAGTATACTAAGCAAGGGTTTAGGGTTTAGGGATTAGGGTTTAGGGTTTAGGGTGTATGATAACAATAGAATGGTATGCTAACCTATCATCAGCTTCAGTATCTCCAGGCCAACCTAGACTCGATGCGCGCAAAGTGTGTAAGTCATGGCAATGCGAAACAACGAACCGCGCATGCTAAGCAAAGTAACTTTTGCCTAGTAGTCGAGTAGGTAACCTGTACCCTTTTTTTGTTCTGGGTTCCCTTATACAGAAACCAACCCAAACAAGGGCGCCCTTATTATCATATGGTTTCTGGGCTGCTAAGTCGAACATCCCTCTCTCGAGTCACCAGTCGACAGGCATCCAGGTCTGCGACTTGCTACTGTAACTAATCTCCAACAGCCCCTTGTGGCTGGTCTTGTTACTTTATGTTAATTGGTCGCGGAAGGCACAGGCAATGGAGGTCCCCAAGGGTTTCATGGTTGTTTGGGCATTTCCTTAGCATGAAATCAAGTACGGTGTCGGTCATGCCTCTCCGAACAGCTGGGGCAAGGGGATTCTCCAGAATGCGGGTGCCGCCATGTTGCCGCAATCGCTACTCCCAGATGTATAGTGGACCTCACCCCAGTTGCCGTTCAGAACTTGTCCGCACGAATGACCCGGTCTTCTCCCCATCGTAGACCCTCGGCAGATACCCCCCTCAACTTGGCCACTGGAGCCAACAGGGGTGTGGTCTGCGGCCTTTCCTGTGCAGAACTGCTGCGAGGTTTGCCGTGGACCGCAATGCCATTCCAAACCGGCAGGACCTGTCCTGATCAAAATCGACATGGCCCATCACAAAGATACTAGTCACATGCCGACGGCTATGCTCGCACTGCTGGCGGCGTCTGAAGGACGCTACTTTGCGAGAAGGCCCCAAAAAGCCAAAAAGCCGCATGTGGGGTTATGTGTTCCAATCACCGTGCTTGTGAGCTTGACCAGGCACAGGCTTGGTTGCTTGGTTCCTTCTTAGAGTATTAGGGCTTAGGGTTTAGGGTTTAGGGCACAAGCTGTACGTAGGGAGACGTTCCCATCGTTTGGGTGTTTCAGCTGTGCGCTGGGCAGCCTCAGTTTCGGCTCAGAAGCAGCGCCGAAAAGGCGTTCGGGGACGAAATCTACAATGGGGAAGAGCAACAAGGCACGCATCGGAGTGGTGAGATCTTCCCTCTTAATTTAAGGACCCAAAGAGCCCAATATTGCTTAATTAAGGATTATACCCTAAATCATATTAAGGATCCCTATATGATTTAAGGTATATTCCTGAATTAAGCAGTATTGGCCTTACTTCATAATCATGATCCCAAGTAAAAATTAGGGTATACTCCTTAATTATTAAGGGTTTTCGAAGATCTGGGAGAGTCCCACCCCGAGTTTCCTCAAGCGTTGAGAAGACCCAAGATGCAGTTCTTTGGGGCCCAGGAACGCTAAAAGGGCTTATGCCAGAGTAGGGTCCTTATTCCGTTTTTTCTTGGGTTGGGGTTCCCTTTGTAATCCCCCTTTAAAACCAGACCGGGCACCCTTTTTATTCCCAGGTTACTCCTGGGTCTAATCTTAAGAATTGAGACCCCGAAACCCTGATCCTAGGCAGGATAAGGGGGACCCTTAGAAGGGAACCCTTCTTCACCCTCTTCTGGCTCTCATAAACAGGGACCTTATTCAGAGGGTCTACATCTCCAAGGGTCCCCTTAATCCGATCCCCTACTTGAGAGACAGTTGCCAGCAGCCTTGCGGCTCTGCTCCTGCAACCTTGGAGGTATCGAAGTCTACGAATTTGCCGTTCCCATCCGCGTGCCGATCAAGGCACCAGATTGCTTAACTTGGGGTTTAGGGTTTAGGGTTTAGGGTTTAGGGTTTCGGGTTTAGGGTTTAGGGTTTAGGATGTATAGGGTTTAGGATTTAGGGTTTAGGGGGGTCTGGGGTTCAGGGAGGAAATTTTAGCAACTTGCTGCACATCTGCTGGTTTCGGGCTTCTATAATTAAGGGTTTTTGTTACAGTTTTGGTCAGGGTTCAGAGGTTTAGGGTTTGGGGTTTAGGGTTCAGCGTTTAGGGTTCACAGGTTTAGGGCTTAGGGTTGTGGAAAGCCGAGAAGTCGTGCTGGAAGTGCAGCAGGGACAAGCTGCGTCACGCTGTCTGGACACTGTTAATGAAGCAGATGTGACTCCATCTCTATCAGCGTCATACGTTGTTTTCGTTGTGCTTTATATGCAATCGTGAAGTGTTTTTATATTATTGTGTATGGGGGGGGTGGGGTATATTGTTTGGGGGGTGGGGGGGGCGGGTTACTTTACTTTAGGGGGAGGGGATTAACGTGTGCTGTTTGAGGTGCGTTTCTGCTTAGGGTTGTACTAGGCCTTGATCACTGTTATTGGGGATGTTCCCACTTGTACTAACAGTCCTTAACAGGGATAATAATAGGGGGTACTATACTGTGTGGTGCAATTTACTGTGACTTTGGATCATTAGCCTTTTTGGGTTCATTGGGTTTCTGAATAAGGCAGCTAAAAACTCAACTTATAGCTACCCTGCTAAGTGCAGCCAAATATAATCAGTACAATCCCGATTAAGGATCGTTAGCCTTGATAGGAGCACATCTGTTGGAAGCTCGCGAGTGGAGAACTCGACAAACGACCTGACGCCAAGCCCTCGGAGACAGGTGATGCCTGAGTCCGAAGTTTAGGGTTTAGGGTTTAGGGTTTAGGGTTTAGGGTTTCGGGTTTAGGGTTTTATCCGAAGTTCCTGAGCTTGGATGCTGATTTGCAAGTGGGGAAGGGGGTCCTCAAGTTACTGCTGAAGGTTAGATGGGGATGGCTTTGGCGGTTCAACACACCCCTAAACCCTAGGCCTTTGGGACAGCTAACGGCTTGGGTGTGTTTGTTCGGAAAAAGATGTGTTTCCACTTCTGGGGTTTAAGAAGCTGATATTACCCTAAACCCTAAACCCTAAACCCTAAACCCTAAACCCTAAACCGTCAGAAGCGTTTTACGGGCCATCCTTTTCTAGGAGGAGCCAAGCCCTGGCTCCTTCCAACTCGACTACCCTAACTGGACTCCAAACCTCGAATCCTGGAAACTCTTGACTTGGGAGCTCACTTTTCACTTCTTGGGATACTATAGTCCCCTATAGAACTGAAAGTGTACACTTTTTTGGGGGCTTATGAACTCAGCGGCTAAGTATACTAACAGTCCTTAATAGTGATTACAAGAGGGGGTACTAAACATCCTTATTAAAGACTGTTAGTATAAGAGGTCACCAACCCTGAGCCCTAAACCCCAGATCCTCTTTCTGCCCCCCTATAGTGGAAACCCCAGTCCCTAAACCCTAAACCCTGCTGCGAAACGGGTGGGGCCTAAACCCTATACCCTATACCCTATACCCTATAACCCTAAACCCTAACCCTGAACGAGCCGAGGCCTGAAAAGACCGTGGTTTACCCCTCCCTCCTGGACGTCTCTCGAAACATGGTACGCCTGCCTGCGTTCTTGTCCCCAGGTGTGGGATACTATTATTTTGCCTCAGCACCCCTTTTTCCCCAAGAATGTACAAGAATGATCCCTATATTGCCCTTATAAGGAAGGATATATATCTGGTGAGGAGAGGGGGAGGGGATTCTTAAGCAAATAGTAGCCCTAAACCCTAAACCCTGAGGGTGTTGTGCCCGAGCTTGCTTGCGCTACTTTACCCGCACTCTACTCACTACACATATGCAGGGAAAGTTCTCTCCTTGACCATCAGCTTGTCCATGGGTTTAGGGTTTGGGGTTTAGGGTTTAGGGTTTAGGGATGATAGTTATCAGCAAACCCTAAACCCTAAACCCGACTGTGTAAGGTTAAGAGTGAGGATTGGAACATAGGCTTTGGGCCTGCCACGCTCCGCAGGCACCAGGAAGTCCAAAACCCCAAGCGTTCGATTGCAGGGGCAATGTTTCGGGTTCAGGGTTTAGGGTTTAGGGTTTAGGGGTTAGGGGTTAGGGTTTAGGGTTTAGGGTTTAGTGTTTAGCGTCCAGCAGCCTCACAGCCACAGCATGTCCCCCGAATGCAACGTTTCCTGCAGCCATCAACCCCTGGCGCCACGAAGCTTTCTCAAGACGCGACGGGCCTATAGCTCGGGCAATTACGTAAGCCAGTCAAGTTCCCAACGCCCCGCTATCATTCAGATTGCACACTGGTGGACCTGTCGCTGAATTACCCAAACCCTAAACCCTAAACCCTAAACCCTAAACCCTTCTCGCGGCCAGGATCTTCCACAACCTGGCACTGTGGCCAAGTTGCCAGGCGCGGGCTGCGGCTTGTGCCCAAAGACTCCGGGGCCATGTGGGGGTTTAGGGTTTAGGGTTTAGGGTTTAGGGTTTAGGGTTTAGGGTTTAGGGTTTAGGGTTTAGGGTTTAGGGCTCATAGGGTTGAGGTTGGGAGGTTCCCTCTTTCTCTAACAGTCCTTTGCATGGATTCTAGTACCCCCTGATTATAATCCCTACTAAGGACTGCTAGTATAAGGGGGAACATCCCAACAAGGTTTTGGGTTTAAGGTTTAGGTTTTTCCGGGTTTAGGTCTGGCGCTTCGAGTACTTGCGAGAGAGGAGAGAGAGCGAGAGAGAGAGAGAGAGAGAGAGAGAGAGAGAGAGAGCGAGCGAGAGAGGGAGAGGCTTGGTCTTTCCTTGCTCGTCGCGTGCGCGCCTGTGCACAAGGCGTGCCGGGATTGCCAGACATCGAATACCCCTCCGTGCTGCAGCTCGATTTTGGTGAGCCAGCCTTCATCCCCACACCAAGCACGCAGGCCGGGACGGCCTCGTCCAGCTCTTGCCCTGTGAGTTCCATCGGAGCACCCCCAGGGCTGGAGCTGATGTCGGATGAGCGGCTCACAAGCTCGTGCCCAGCGAGCATGATGGAGATGCCCCCAGGCTTCGAGGATGAGGCGCTGCCCATTGTCATCCCAAAGATGCAGGCAGTGGTACCACCCCCTCCAGTCGAGCCACCCGTTCTCCCAGGGACGCTCCCCTTGGAGCCCACGGAGCCCCCTGCGGCCCCGACCGATCCCGCGGAGTGCGCGGAGATTTTGGGGCTGCCCGCCTACGTGGACTTCACGGGCTTGTGCGTGAGCTTGGGTTCGGCCGGGCACGGCACGGGCACCTGCAAGCCCTGCGCCTTCTTCCACACCAAGGGCTGCTCCAGCGGCAAGAATTGCACTTTCTGCCACATGTGCCCGCCCGGGGAGAAGAAGCGCAGGGCCAAGCTCATAAAGATGGCGGCCAAGCTCAGCAACTTGCAGGCTGAGCAGGGCCTTGCTGAGAGCCCCCTGAGCGCGCACGCGGAGAAGTTGCTACCAGCAGAACTGTTTGAAGAAGCACTCAGGGCATAGGCCGCGACCGCGACCCTGTATCCTCATGCTGACAGAAGCCATTCCACACTCCTCCGGCTAAGGTTTCTGAAAAATTCTTCATCCTGCGGTAGATCGAGACCCCCCCACTCGCCCAGCTCTTTTGGGAGGGATGGAATGTCACATCAGTGCGCTGTACAGAACGGAAGAAGACCAGCAAAGGCCAGGATGCGAGCGAAGTCTCTCAAAGAGCAGCTATATGACACGTTAACATTTAAAATATTTAAACAAACAACAAAAAACAATAAACTTCATAATAACAATAATAATTAAGCCCCACTATAAGCTTGAGACCAAAACATTGAGCGTACTACCAGCAAATCAGAATAGTGGCGAGAATACAAAGAACAGGCATAAGAAAGCTAAGAATATCTTTGTTATGAAGGAATACTGGTACCGTAGTCAGTCGAAGTATTGATAGAACAGTATTCATGGTAATAGCCTACTTAAAAGTAGCAGGAGGAACCGCAGTAGCATTTGTCAACCGTCAGTAGCAGCTGTCAACAGTAACTACCTTAAGGACAGGCAGTATCACTTGAGACTTCGCAAGGAACAGGTGATGTTTAGATCAATTATGCCTCTTATTGAAGCATGGTTAGTTCCAAAACACAAGATGTGCAAGAAGAACATAAAAAAATAGACCCTACAGAGAAAGCTCGGGGACTTCCTCAGCTTGGCCAAGGCATACCGGCGCCTTATCAGTAGAAAGCTGAAGGGCGTCAGCCTGCAATGATTTTAATGGATTGGGATGAGTGTGGCCATTGTAGGCTGGTGGCTTCGGTTGCACTGCGTTCTGCGTTCTGCCCCTGAAACGACCGCATGACGATCGAACCCTCGCGCGAGTGCCATGAAGACCAGCTGGAATGTCCGTGCTCGGCATGTTACAGAGCCAGTCCATAAATCACATCCCTCCGCCAACTCGGTCATGCAGATCTGTTGGTGGGGAAGCTGGCAACATGTTGTGGAAACTATGGTATGATAGCTCAAGCTTTAGTAGTCGATTGGGTACAGCTTACCTGGCTTAACCGACTTCGTTGCTCTAGGCTGTCATTTTGAGTGCACGTCCACTCCCTTTGAATAGCATGCTTCTGCTCGTCAAGGGAGCGGTTCCTGGCGGAAACAAGAACCCACAAGAATGGCTCGACACGTCTACGAGCACTTGTTCAACACCTAAGGCTCGATGTAGTGCAGGTGTAAGCAGGAGGTTGGAAGCGTGGGTATAGTGTATGTAAGGCTTATCCAACCCTAAACCCTAAACCCTAAACGTTTAGGGCCCAAGTATGGGCAGATGTGCGGGATGTCGTCATACTAGCAACTTTGTCACTCGCCTCTAGGATCTGTAGCAGCCCAGATCTTCCCAAAACCCCCTTAATTCAGGAGTGTACCCTAAATCTATACTAAGGATCTTTATTATGAATTAGGGTATATTCCTTAATTAATATACTAAGGATCATTATTATGAATTAGGGTATATTCCTTAATTAAGGGGTTTTGGAAGATCTGGAATCTTCAGACAATTCATCCCTGCCCTCCCCCTCGTCTTCCACAGCCTGAAACCCTACGTGGACCCCAACTTTTTGGATGGAAACTTCTGCCGGATCCACTACCCTAGCAAGCACGAGCCCACTTGCGCCGCAAGGGTGCGCGAGGGCCGAGATTTAAAGCCATGTGGTCTGCGTCGCTTGTGTCGCCGCCTTGGGAAGGATTCCAAGCATAGCCCTGATAGCTTCGGGTTTCGGGTTTAGGGTTGAGGGTTTAGGGTTTAGGGTTTAGGGTTTAGGGTTGAGGGTATCATGGGACTACCTCGGATGTGCCCTTGGGTTCGGGATCCGTTTTCAAGATCCTCGTATCAGAACTATGGTCCCTTTCTGGCCTATTCCAAAAAGTCATATCTAGGGTACCCCAAAAGGGATCACAATCTTGACAGCCAGCCATAAGGGAATCGAAGGGCCACATCAGGAGTATGTTAAGGCAAACCTCTTCGCGGTACATCCTTGGGGGTCCCAGTATGCCTCCCTTGATTGTAGTCTTCTGGTCCTGTTGAGGACCCTAAGCCCTAAACCGTAAACCCTAAACCCTAAACCCCAAACCCCAAACCCTAAACCCTAAACCCTAACCCTTCCGGGATGGAGCTCGGCTCCGGGGAACTGGGTTCCAAACAAGGGAACAACATGGTTGAGGGTGGCTTGAGGGTTGCAAAGCAAGGGAAAACGGGTTTAGCGGGCCTAGGGCTTAGGGCTTAGGGTTTAGGGTTGAGGGTTTAGGGTTTAGGGTTTAGGGTTTAGGGGCGGAACTTGCGAAAGCCACATGGTTTCGGCCAGCTCACTTTTGCTTCCTGCTGCTGCATGTGGAGGCCCGGCCAGGAGTTATTCAAGCACAAAAATATCTTTGACCACCGCCTAAGGTTTTAGGGTTTAGGGTCTAGTAGGCCCCGTAAGCGCATGGCCTTAAAGCCTTTTGGACGGTAAACCCGAAGCAACAACCCTACGACCTTAAACACTACACCCCCAAAACCCTAAAACCCTAAACATATGCACCGGAAGCCTGAAAACCCAAAGCCCTGACAGTTCAACACGTTAACCAGAGGGTTTAGGGTTTAGAGGTTAGCTGGCCGGTCCTCCAGCACTGAAATCTCCACGGGACATGACAAGCCTGCCGTCTGATTGCACCATACACCTTTGAAGGTTTAGGGTTTAGGGTTTAGGGTTTAGGGTTTAGGGTTCTTAAACATTAAACGAGGGGGGATTCAAGGGGGGTATGTAACCCAAGGTTCCCTAGTATTCCCCACTACTCCCTACGGCTCCCCAAAAAACCTTGCATACGCGGCAACTTGACCGATTTCGAACATAGGCTTGCGCAAAAGTTGGTCAGATTTTTGAGGGGCTCGCACCCTAAACTCTAAAGTGAGACAAGATACCATGGCAGAACAAGGTTAGAACAAAGCAGTCAAGGTCTGTGATGAAACCCTAAACCCTAAACCCTAAACCCTAAACCCTAAACCCTAAACCCTAAACCCTAAACCCTAAACCCTAAACCCTAAACCCTAAACCCTAAACCCTCAACCCTACCCTAAACCCTAAACTGTAGGGTCCAGGCAGTCCTGTCCTTTTGGACACCTTGGCCTCGCCAACCAGCTTCGGAGTACGAGAGCAAGAGCTCCTTCGCGTGCCGACCTGTGGCACCTTGGGGTTTAGGGTTTAGGGTTTAGGGTTTGGGGTTTGGGGTTTGGGGTTTGGGGTTAGTAGAACCTGGCACCTTCGCTAACCCTATGGGGTGGGTCAGGGTTTGGGGTTTAGGGGTTGAGGGGTTGAGGGGTTTAGGGTTTAGGGTTTAGGGTTTAGGCCAAGCAATTCTGAACAAGCCCCCTGTGCTTTCCTTTTTCTTGGGGTTCTTTTTGTTCGGGTCCTGCCTGCCCCCCCCCCCCCCCCTCCTCCCCCCCACCCCCCTATCCCCCCCCCCCCCTCCTCCCCCCCCCTCCCCCTCACCCCCCCCCCTCCCCCCCCCACCCCTCCCCCCCCCCCCCCCCGCCTCCCCCCCCCCCCCCCCTCCCCCCCCTCCCCCACCCCCTGCCCCCCCCCGTCCCTCCCCCCCCCCTCCCCCCTGATTGCCAAAAGGGTA